TTGCTGGATTCACGTGGGAAATGGCGTGTCAATAGCAGCTGTAGGTACATATTCAGCCTCGAAGCAACCAGCAGACAATTCGTGGAGTAAATCCGTCTTTGCTCCACTCTGCGTGGGCCGCAAATCTTCCTTCACATTGTGGGTAAGGGATCACCGTGTCCAAGTGAAACAAACAAATGAATCAAAAAAGAAACAAGCTGTAATCACCAAAGTCCTACCGGCCAGTCCCAACGCCGTGTCGCACTCAGAGCTGAAAATTCCAGAAAAGGACATAAGTAAGAACTATCAGCTAGCGGAAGAACTGATGAAAAGAAAGGGAAAAAAAAAAACAGAATTCAATCGAGAAACCCAACCAGTCTGCAACACCACCATAAGGATCGAATCCCAGGCACCAATTCAAAGCTACCTAAACACCGTTCTGCGCGTTCTGTTGCTGAGCACCCGTCCCAACCATCTTCCGCAATTCGTATTCCTTCGTAAACTCGCGGCTGAGGGAGCCCAAATCCTTCACTAGTTCGTGGCATGCGGTGATAACGGCTTCCTTGGGGGTGATTTGACCGTCTGTTTGTACCCGTAGAATGAATTTTGGGACCAGAGGGTGAGGGACCTGCGTTGGTATTTAGTAGAGATACACAAATGCTGTGCGTTCGCATAGAATCATTTGTACTAGAAAAAGCGAGGCCGGCGGCAAGCTGGCGGGTGGGAGTGTGTATACCTAGATCAAAAACGTACCTTGTAGCCCGAGAAAAGGACGTGTGAGCTGGTAATAAGACGCGAGCGGATCATATTGCCAAGCGTGTGGTCCTCCTTGTTGAAGGTGAAAATGGCGGTGGACGGGATGCCTAGGTTGCAAATAGTTCACCAGCGTGGATTAGCGATTTTGCCATGGGGTGGAAAGCATATATAATGGGTGTTGAAAACAACTTACGGGTATCAACCTCAACCTCGACCTTCTTCTCGCCTGGGAGAAGAACGAAGGATTCGAATCTATAAGCGACAGGATACAGGATTTAGTTTCGCAAGAGCCACATCAGAAATAACGACATGTACATATCCCAAGGAGCGAAGAAAGGAACTCCGAAGGGAATCAAAGACCCTCCAACTAAACCTAACACCCCCAAACCGGAAAAAAAAAAAAAAAAAAAAAAAAAAAAGAGAGAGAAAGACAAGGAGGAAAAGAGAACGCGAACTCCAAACAGGGAGAGAGCAGAGCAATTCACTCTAACCTAGCTACCATGTCCAGGTGCGGACGAACTTTGGTCTTGCAAGGGTTCTGGCGGTAGCTCGCCGCAGAGGAGTCGAAGAAGGTCATGGAGCGCTCCCGTTCGGGATCAAGCGGCTTAGTGGGTTGTTGGTTTTCCATGATCCACGCACAGGGCTGGAGATAAAGGGAAAGAAAGGGTTGGTAGAAAGGGTGAAGGAAATGAATGCCGGGTAAATGGGGATCTTCTGGTTGGAGATAGAACAGAGATAGAAGAGAGCTGCGATATGATACAATATGCCAAACGCGGGGGATAGATGGAAAGGAGACAGGAATGCAGGCATGCAGACGAAGAATGGACAAGACACGATGGCACGAACAAGGAACAAGCCCTTGATGCTGGCACGGGTGGG